AGGCATCCCTTCCCTCTCCCCCCTTAAAAAGAAAATGAAAATAATTCTTATTATAAATTTAAAAGTTTATTTAATGGCAATGCTACAAGTACAATATCTCAATCGTATTGTGCATTACATAATATAACTTAAGATTACTGTTTTTGTCTCAAAATTATGGATGCATTTTGATTTTTTCTTCATTCCAGAATAATAGATATATTTTGATTTTATATTTATGGCAAAGATGTAGGGATAATTTTTAATTTTACCTATTTTATCATTTAAAAAAGAAATAAATAGAAAGAGGCCTTTCATGATAAAATAAATGATTAAAATTAAGGGATGATGATAAAGTTAAAGTAGGAATAAAATATTTATCTCCCTCAAAATGTGAAAAAGTAAGTATTATTTTAGCATAAATTTTAAATAAAAAAAATCTATTATTTTACAATTGTGAAAATAAATAAGTAAATATTTATAATATCACATGTAACCCTTAAATTAAAAGTGTTAATTAAAAAATAAGATGTTATATTGTACTTCAAATATTATACCTGTATTTTCTTCTGCAAGAAATCTTAGACTAAGTTGTAAACATAGTGGAGTGTGTAAAAAGATAATGAGCCAAATTTTTTTTTTTTAAAAAAAAAAAAGAGGTATAGTAGGTATTGATTATTGTTGGACTTGGACAAAGCATTACTCAAAAGTTCAAATCCAGCCCATGTAAAACCCAAAATACAAGCCCAAAATTAGGAGAAGCCTAACCCATTAAAGGGCCGCCTGACGCCGTCAACGACTTTAACGTCGTCAATCGCAGGAGGGAAACCAAATCGTTCAAACCAAAATTAAAACTCCAAAATCCCAATTGAATCCATCACTCTTTCTTTACCGCGATTTCTCCGTCTCCCTCCCTCAGCACCACTCTTCCTCTCTCCGGCGATTTGCCCATACTCCGATCATCTAGGGCAAATCGTGGCACGGTCATAGATTAACTTAACCGCCGGAGTAGGATACACCTTGTATTCTGATTCCGCCGGCTGTTTCGTTTTCTTCCATGCCTTTTCCGGACAGGTTTTGTTGACATAGGTAAGGTATTGATCCGATTTCGTTTCTAGTATACGATAGAGTTGAATTTGATCACACGATAGATATAGATTTTTTTTCTAAGCGATTTTAGTTTATATGGTTGAAGTTTTGCGTACTATGATTTCTGTTGTGAAATGCGAATCCTGTTATGGGATTACTTGCTGTGTTCTTTTATTTTCTTCAAAATGGATGCTGAAAAGATTTGGTTTAGATGTCTATATTTTTGTTGTCGTGATGCTGCTATGAACGAAAACAAATGAGTGAATTTTTTTTTTTGGCTTCAGCAAAGTGAAGTGCACATATTGTGTTTGATGATTTGCTTCTTTTAGTTGTGGGTAAGATGGGATCTGCTAAGACGAGGGAGTTTAGCATGTTTTCTGATTCGATTTAACTTTTATTGAAGACTAGTGTAGTGCATGGGAGTTTTTAGCTTTAGTTTTCTAGTACAATATTGTTGGTCTTTTGGAAAACTGGGATTTACTTGGAAATATGAAAATTTGGTGTGAGGCTGTCAACCTGATGAATGGGGGCTGTTTATAATTCTTTGTTTTGGCGTCATTGTTCAGGTGATTAAAATGGGCCATTTTATTCCTCTAATTTATTCTGAAACGGCATAAAAACTGGTAGGATAAAAAAAAGTCAATATTGCGATGTTGATAAGTCAATGGGCCTATCAAAAGGTGTTGCTCGTCATTACTTGCAGGATAACAATATGGCGAAGGTAGCAGGACCTGCGACATTACCTTCTCTACAAATTGGTGGAAATACTCTCAAAGTTGGACCAATGACTAAAAGGAAAACACCATCAGAACTTAGAGTAAGTTTCTAATTTTTATTGCATTCTGTTTCACTATTTTGGTTTTAAACTTTAACCATGCACATGGGGACTATCAGCACCTTTACATGCTTGCTAGTTTGTGTAATAGGGAATAATATGAATGTAAAGGGATCAGAATGATAATCTGTTATTATTGTGTTCATTCTAATTGTTTACTGTTATGGTCTGCCCTTCAACTTTGAAGGGAAAGTTATGTAAGAGACAAAATAATTTTGTGTCTCTGAAGTTTAGTTTCTTCTCACATTATGTTCATAAATTAGTGGCAATATAACTTTTTATACTTCCTAGATCATGCTGTGTTTTTATCTGACCTAATCCATGAATGCGATTTTTATTCATTTTACCACGCCCCTGCTTTGCTTGTTTGGTAGGTATATCTTATCTGTACACAGAAGTTTAGTGCTTTAAAATGTTTCCATTATTTAGTTTAGTGCTCTTAGGATAGAATGTTAAATGAGATAACTTGTAATTTAACTCTTACTTTGCAATTTGGAAAGGAAGTCTTATGGCTTATAATCGTTGAATGCATGACAGGGAGAGCAGTTAAGGAGGAAAAATATTATAGAAGATGATGAGTCTCATCTTCCAAGGTAAGTTTTGCTTTTCTGCTATATTTTTCTTTTATCTGGAATCATCTAATAACCTTTTTATCTGTCAGCAGTAGTAGTCAGATGGATAGTGGCTCCAGAAAACCAGATCTACCTAGGGTTCCTAGATACATTGACACCCGCATGGATGGAGTATATCCTGCCAAGAAAACCAGGTTCAGTATGCCGACTAAAAATGGAAATGACAAGGTTATTCCATTTTCCACATAAATGATTCATTTTGTTTAGCGTTTTTTATATGGTTTCAGCATTTAGTTGGCACATCTGGATGGCATGGATTTGCATATTATGCATTATTAGTTCATTAATAATTAGTCCTATGATCTTTTACTTATTATCAGGAAAATGGTTTAGCTCAGCAACTTTTCAGCCTGCAGAAAATTTCTGCATCTTCAAATTTGTTTGCTGAGAGAAGACAACAACCAGGGTATGCCTCCCTCCTGGCATCCTATATCTGGCTCATAAACAGGGAGACTGTCCTTACTTTTTATCACTTTTGTATAATTGTATGGCAGGCAAGAGGATTCTGTTGCTTCTTCTGATGTTTGTAAGGATGATGCTGGGCAAGCTGCCCAACGTTCACTTGCAAAGTGTAATCAGGGTACATTTGTTAGTGTTACTCTGCTTTCTTCAGGTGGTGAAAGATCATCAGGCTTGCCAGCTGTTGACTTGGTATAACTAATTAGTCCTACCTCTCTATAATTAATTTAGTTATGTCTTTGGCTCATGGACCATGATTTGCCTTTGTAGGATAAAGCGTTAAAAGGACTAGCTGCTCATGAACCAATTTCTAGCTTACCCAATGAGCCTTCTGAAAGATTGGATGATCATTCCCCAACTGAAAAATTTTGCTCTGAATTCAATGTGCCTGGCCAAAAGATTCCTCTAGATCTTACTTTGAAAACTTTTGTGCGGTTGGTGTCCTCGTCCTCTGTCAACTGGTGAGTAAACCTACTCTCTCTTTTCATTCTACAAAAAAATGAAAAATCTTATATTAAGCATATGATCCTTTCATTTACTTATTCTTTTTTTTTGCCTTTGCAATCTGTATCATAAAGTGTTGTCAAAAGCGGTTGCTTTTATTTTTAGTTCTTAGTTTATATTATAGATTTTATATCTGATGGTCTCATAATAAATTTATCTTTCTCTGTAATACCAGGTTTCATAGATCAATCGTGTGCAGTACCTATAATGGTGTACCTCAGTTTACATCCCAGTCTGGCTGTTCTCAGGGTCAAAACATTAGCAATAGCTCAGAGCCCAGACTGACTTCCCAAATGCTAAATACACAAGCATTGCATTCATGGGTTTACCCTCAATCTACACTGCCACCCTCTGTCATATCAGTTTTGGCCTCAGCAGCAGATGGAGGTTTGTTTGCGAAAATCTATGAGTTGATGCCTCCCTTCCCTTTTTCTATCCCCTCCTTGTCCTTCCACAGACATAAACCTCTTCTTTTCTCTTGTATCCTCCTTTTCTTACTAAGATTTTCCCTTTTTCTCCAGTGGAAATGGATTTCTTGAGAAAACGACAGCGAGTGTGGGAGGATTCATTTCGAAGTCTTTACTACATGTTTCGGAAGAACTGTTGTCATATCTTTTATGGTAAACCGTGTCTCACTGCCTAAGGATTCTGTAGTGCAACTATCCTCCGTATCCTGTTGTTGATTAAGTGAATTCCAGTGTTGCCATTGGAATTACTTTCATTTAAGAGTGGGGCAGTAAAGTTGACAAAATATTTGGGTTTGGGGTGAATGCTTTCTTTTGAGAATAATCAGAAATTGTCTGGTTAGATTACTTTCTTTTATTTATGGAAATTATTTTTAGTATTATGAAACTTGGAATTATAATTCTGGGTGGGAAATTAATTATGTTGTGTGTATCCTTGAGTTATGGAAGCCAAATAGTGCTAATATTAACTAAAAGTTGATTGCAAATTACAATGTATAGAAAATGTATCCATTTTGAGTCTTTATATGGAAACGAACTATATTATGGATATAATACCTTTCAAATGTTTAGTTCCCTTGATTTCACCATCTTGCAGACCCCTATGCCTTAAGCATACTATCTAGTGGTCTGTGATTATGTCAATCTAGTTTGCAACTAAGGCAATAATCTAATTATTTGTCTGCAATGTTAACCAGCTGAGTACTTTAGAATCATTGCAATATCTTTTCTGGTTTGCTTTCCCTTGCAATGAGGCATCTAAGTAATTTATGTTGAGGCATTTTCACTTTCCAGATTTTATATAAGCTGGCACATGTGCATGAATTTATATTTACAGACATCTATGCCTTGCTGAAGACTTTTTTATATTTGTTTTTCAATGTGATAGTGCCATAGTGGTTTTGTCATGTGTGCATTGCAGGGATAAGTTCATTTCTAATCTCATCGCTACATGTTTTGTGAACGATAGCATCCACTTTAATTGTTTGCTTTGGTTTTACGAGATGTACACTGGGATGAATGATTCAATTTGAATGCCTTTTTTTTTCAGAAAAAAATTATTTTTTTTTGAATGCTTTTATCTTTATTCTTTTCACTTGGCCTGCTGATAGCGATTGTAGAACTAATATAATGGTTTGTGCTGGACTTTTTCTAGTATGTACTTCCCATTTTGTGGTGATGTTCACTGCTGCTGATGATTTGGAAAGCAGCAGGCGCACTTGCAATGCTTATATTTCCAAGTCAACTGGAAGTTTGAGGTCATTGTTGAAACAACATGTAAGATGCAACTCTTAGCTTTTGCTCTTCTTCATCCTCATAATTAAAGAAAAATATTATCTAACTGCTGCTAATTACAACTTACAACGACTGGATGTTTACTTCTCAAATTTTGTTTTCAGTTTACCTAATTTAAGTGTTTTAGCTTTGGGGTCTTGGATGTCAGATTGCTAGCAGCAATTAAATTTGCTAAGAAGCAAGTTGTGCACTTATGCTGATATCAGCATTGAGAAAAAGCTAACATGGGCATGTGCATATTACCATCTGATTCAATGTGATTGCTAGTTCAAATTTTTGCTTCTGGTAGCAACTTAAAGCAGGCAGAAATTATTGGCTTTATATTTTTGAAATCTGAGGACTAATATAAGTTGTTTTAATCCCAAATTATCTTTTAGGCTTCTAGTCCAGAACATATGGCTCTTCAACTGTTCAAGGGAATTGTTTCTCATGCTAAACATTTGGCAATTGAAATTATTTTGTGGGCTTTAATAAGCTATCACAGACTTATCATTTTTTTAATTAATTTTCATGTTCTCTATGATGTCTGATGTTTCTGCTTGTTTTGGATAATCAAATAGGATATTTGTTTCTCTATGCCTCTTTGCCATTCTAAAGTAGAGCAAGTAACAACTGAAGATTTGGTGGAGCTCTCAGAAATTGAGAAGCATAATTTGGGCCAGGTTTGTATGATGTGTATGATTTCCATGTTTGTCTGTTATCATTTGGTTTTAATCAAACTCCGGCTTGAGCAGACCATGGATGCCTTACGCTATGATGTTTTGGGGCATCAGAGTTGCTAACCTTTACCTTGATAGTTCACATGAGAGCTGATAAGAGAAAAAGAGAAAAAAAAGGGGGGGAATAGCTCATATGAGAAGTTTATCAAGGTCCTTTGGCTGTATCTGTTTGAATTATTGACTGTGTCATATGAAAGATATTTTGGGTTACTTCATAAAACAATCTGATGGTGTTATGTTGATTCTCTATCTGCCCTGCTGTTTAAGTGTCGTTTTCATTTTGGAATGCCCTCAAGATTTATTTCATAAGTCGAAAGATCAGTTACTTTTCTATATATACCCTAAACTCAAGAGTCACAGCTTTTGCAAATGAGTGACAGCCTCAATTATTATTATTATTATTATTTTATTGTGCATGTATTGCTTCTTGTCTTTTGATAATTCAGTCAGGAATTTACTTTAAATTACTGCAGGCTCAACGCCAGAATAGTTTCTCTGAAGTAGACAATACACCACAATCTTTGCTGGCTTTTAGTGGAAATGAGAACGTACATGGTTTATATGAAATTTTGTTAAATTATAGGTATGGACAGAGTTTCTGTTCCTTTTCCATTTCTGCAAGGCCACAGGTTGAAATTGATTGATTATTTACTTACTATCTCTACCCGATCTGACTTGTTTGCTTTTAATTGTCTTTAGATATTTCTTGACCTTTTTGGCGGCTTCAGATGTTCCTATGCTGTGTTCTCCCATGCAATTTCAGAATGCTGCTATTTCTACTCCAGAGGTAGGTGTTATCTTCACCAGTTTTGCACTGCCTGATGTGAAGCATGGAGCTATAATATTGTTATCTCCACTTTTGATTTCCAGGTTAGATGCATGGAGATAAAAAGAGTTGATCATGTTGCTGATCTGAATAGAGGATCTTTCCACAAAAATGGTAACAGCATACAAAACCCATGTACTGATGTTTGCCATTGCATTGAAATCAAGGATACATATCTTCCACCATGGATTATCAGCAGTGTATGTGCAATCATGGGTTCTGAAGGGAGAAGCTTTGAGGCCAGGTATAAAATAATCTGTTCTTTTCTTTGGATCAAGTTATTTGTTTGCATTATACTTCTTGATATATGAGATCATCGTTTAATTGTAAATTTTACAATTGATCATCTGATTTGATTTCTCTTGTTCCAGCTTCACGACAGAATGCACATCCATTGGTCTAAATGTTGCTCTTGGGGCAGTCTCTGAGAAAACTGATACTGAAGAAACAGTTAGCCAAAGCTCACAAAAAACAACTAATGCCTTCGGTATTTCAGAAACTTTTGTTTCTCCTTATCTAAGTTCAGGTCTACTAAAAAGCTTGAATTATTCCAGTGGTTCCTACACTGTTTCTCTATCGTCCGTATGACAATGAAGGACTATTGATATTTGATATCTATCAAGAGAAGCATATTTTGTTCTCTACTTTGATGCTTCTGTTTTCGTTTTAGTTGCATTTAACTTGTTCCTTGTATAATCTCAATTAACAGACTATTGACTATAATCAACTAATGCCTTTTCTACTTCAATGCCCTTTTATTTAATAGGGAAATGCAATTCTGAATTCTGATTGAGTACTATTGTCAGTCTTCAATACTGCTGCTTCCATGCGTTTTCTGACATTCTGAGGAGGTTTTAGTTTGAACTTTTTTGGAAAAAGAATTTGGGGAAGCCTAGCTTTTTAAACTTGGCTGAATTTTTGGGCACACATCCCAATAAAACAATATAATTAGTTACAATTGAAAAACAATATAATCAATTATTTTTTCTTAAAAATCAATATAATCAATTTTATTCAAAGATAAGCAACTATTAACCTTGGAAACTTTTCTTCAAGGGTATTTATTTTGAAAAATTATTTTTGGGGCATATAACCATTTACAAATTATTATAATCGATTATATCTCTTTGATCTTGAAAAATTACTTTCCAAACCAACCCAAAGCCAAAAATAAGTTGATTTGCCTGGATGCTTTTTCTGGGGAAAGCTTAAACTAAACACTCTCTAAATGTTTCATAATCAGACATTTATGAAGCGAAGGTCAAATTCTTGGATTCTCAGAAATAGGAAATAAATTGATGGGTTGATTGCAGATTCTGAATATTTTTGGCCTTTCACAGAAGTTCCATGTAATGATCTGTACTTCTGTAGCTTTCGTGCATAAATTATTCAGTAATGGTTATCATATCAAAACAAAAATTAAAAAAATTGTGGATGACAATGACGTTAATGTTACATCATTTGATCAGAATACAACATGAAAAATGATTCAATCAATCTCAAAACTGTTTTCCAATAATTATCCGTCTTCGAACTCAAATGGAAGACCAGAAAATGTTTTCTTTGGAATGTGCAGACTGACTCGTCTGGTTATCACCTGGTGGTCTTCGTGTGGGTGTTCGTTTAGAAAGAGAACTTGAAACCGCCCACCTTGGAATCGGTCACTGAATCCCAGAATGAAACCTTTTTCTGCTGGGCCTGTTTCTCCTCTGCTTTCAGTGTTAATTCTTCAATGGTTCCTGGGAAAGAGGCTTCAATAGCATTCTTAAACTTATCATGTAAGTTTATTCTATCTTTTGTCCCAGATACAAGTTCGCTGGCATTTGGCTTCTTGAGAAAATCCAGAACATTCAACAAATTCCTCCTGCGAGAAAAAACAAACATCTGTAAACCTAGCTTCTACCCACAAGTGCCATGGAAACATCTATTTGATAGGACGTAAAAGCTCCATAAAATTGAAAAAGCATAAAAGAATGATACCATCAGATTATCAATGTTAAAGATTCTCTCAAGCCTAAATTGGATCATCAATGATATCGTGAGTAACAATACCATCAGTTTATCAAAATTTTGGTTAATGACATAGCATTAAGTGTTTTCTTGGGCCTAAATACTTCACAAGTTCACATGCACCAGAACGTTTGAACAACATTCACACATAGAAAGTTTTGCCTCACTTTTACAAGAGCAGATTAATGCATAAGCCATCCTTCCAATTCTTCTATCTAGCTTGATTTCTTATATCTCAATAAAAGGTATTAAATCCAAACACTCTTATACTCCTAAGATGGTCTTTTGTTATTGCATGTATTATATTAAGGCTAACTCCAAAAACATGAAAGAAATCCTGGTTATTATTTTGAGAAATGAGAGACTATTACCATAGTCCTTGTCAAACTATTACTAGTTATAGTGCTAAAATGTAACAGCTTAGAAGTACATTGATATTCAAAATCTAAATTATAAACCCATGTGCTATATGATTCATCAAAAAGGCAAAGCTCCAGCTTTGGTTTAATCAGATTGGAATATCATTGATTCATTATGAACAGAAATACATCACTAGACTAAATTGAGAAATGGAGCTCAATTCATGTTCAAATTTCCTCAATACCATCATTCTCCAGTGCTGATTAAAATCAGAAACCATAAATCAATTCAATGGTTAAATCCTATTAGAACTTAAAGTCCATCTCCAATGAGTTTCATACCTTCATCTTTCCTTGCCAATGTTAAAAATGAAGCTAAATCATTCTGCAATGGGTACAAATTCTGAGATAACATTTAAGAAGACTTCTTATTTCCTAAACCATGGTAGAAGTAAATGAAAGAAAGCTAGTACCTGCTAACGTAATTCTGTGTAATGGCAATGGAGTCCTCCAAGTTAATGACTAGATGCCACCATCCATTAGGCACAAAGATCACTTCCCCTGCCTTACAAATGCATTCAATAGGTCTCTTTTTCCAATTCTTTGAAGCTCCATAAAAATTCATGAACCATTCAATGATTGAAACAGGACACGCCACTTCTGCACCATCTGGACTAGGGTGCACACCTGGAGGAACCACATCAGGGGGGAACAAAACCCATTTCTTAGATCCTTTGATCACTGCATTCCAAGCTGATGTTGAATTAGGATCAATGTGAAATGATGAACCAGAACCAGCTGGACCAATTATAATCCATCTGTAGTCTGGTCTCTCCTTACCCAAAACACTAAATAGATCCTCTCTAAAGTACACTGGAACTTCATATTCTGAACCCAAAACTGGAACCTTCTCTGCAAACTTAGGATCAAACAAATACAATGGCCTCTCTTCCCTCACTTGATCAGAATACTTAAAATAGTCCTCCAGCTTCATTTCTACCGGTCCAACCGCAAATGGAACATCACCACATAGCTTAACCAAATAATCTCTGTTCCATTTTTTGGATGCAGGCCAATTATCCAAGCACCCTTCCAACAATACAGGTTTATTTGGTTCCTCAAAATTCATCACAAATTCCTCAACACTAATCCCCCTTTTCCGAACTATATTATCCCTTTCAAGCCATTCTGGTCTCATTTCAAGATTAGCACATAACCAACTCTGAAACAAATAATCAGAATAAAAGTCCCTAACTTTCAACCCCGAAACCAGCACCCTGGAAAAATCAATCAAAGGGTTACAAGCAGTAATGTAGGTAGATTTCCACGACCCATCATACAAAAACCTCCCATTTAAACCATCCAATACAAGATTCCTCCAAAGGGGTTCATGGTTACTAAAAACATAAAAAGACTTACTAACACAGGCTAGAACACCCAGGTGGGTGGCATCCAAAAGCCCAAGAATTTCAAGAACAAGCTCATCAGTCAAGGTCTGGAGATTACCTAAACCAGTATTTCTGGAGTTGACGGAACCTGGGTTGAGATAAAGATTGCCCAGTGGCTGAACACCATGAGTGTGTGATGGAGCTGAGGATTTGAGATTGAACCCTTCCTCATTGTCTTCATCTTCTTGTTGTTGGTTGGGCAGTTCCTGCTCTCTGGGAACATTTTTGATATTTTTGTTGGATTTGATTCTCTTGGGATCCTTCTTCTTTCTCCTTATTGTTCGAGACAGCAAGCTTCTGCAACTCAGCATCCTCAAGCTATCACTCCCTGGTTCAATGGCGCTTGCTGTTGAGAGGTTAGGCCCAGAAACAGACCGCGAGGGTTTTAGTTTACATTCAGAAACGCGTTTCGTTTAACTCGAAAAAAAAAACGTCCTTTTTTTTTGGTTTTCCGAATTACTATTCAAAAGTGACTAGTATATGATTAATTTAAAATTGACTTAGAAATCAACTGTCAATCCTCTAAAAAAAAGTTTATTTTATATTTATTTTTTATTTATAAACTTAAATTTAATATTTTATTTAAAAAATCAATTTCTTTCCATTGAAACTATCTAGTTATTTAAATATTTAAAAGCCTTTAGATAAAATCTAACACTAAGTAGCCTAGTAATCAAACCTTTTTTATCCCCACACTCCAGCCTAATGACTTAAACACTGAGTTAATATAAATCACCTATTTTGAATTATGTGTTTGAACCCTCACAAATTTTTTTTGTTAGTTCCTATTTAGTTAATTGTACTAATTTCCTTTTGGTTAAAAAAAAGAAAAAAAAGGTAATCAAACCTTTTCATGAAGAGGTGTTAGGATATAAAATTTTAAATTCTACACTCTAGTACTACTAATTTCCTCACCCCCAAAAATTCTATAAATTCAAAAAAAAAAAAAAAAGGAAATAAAAAGGCCTTTGGATAAAGCCTGATTAAATAGAAGACCGGCCTGAGTCTTTCTACACCTGACATTTTACAGCCCAAGCCTTTTCAGCTGAATGTCTGGGGAGAAGTCCCGGGACCAATGTTCTGGACACCTCTTCTACCTTCTTCTAGTAGAAGTGTGAACTGTGTAATTTAAATGTACCACATTTTGGGCCTGTTTGGCAGAGCTTATTTTTCAACTAGCTTTTAAGGATTTTTACTATCTTGAGTTTGAAAATTTTTTAATGCTTATTTTTTTTTCAAAATTTACTAATGGCTCATAAGGACTTTCTTTAAATGCTAAAAAACAATATTTTCTTCTAAAAATTTTCAAACTCAAGAGAAAAAAGTGCTCATAAACCGTTTTTTTAAAAAACTTTGCTGAACACCCTTTTTAATTTATTCTAGCTGCAATTGTAAAATCAATTACTGCATTTTAAGGGAAAAGTTGCGTAAATGCTAAAAAAAAAAAAAAAAAAAAATTTATTCTAGCTGCAATTGTAAAATCAATTACTGCATTTTAAGGGAAAAGTTGCGTAAATGCTAAAAAAAAAAAAAAACAATAATTTTCTCTAAAAGATTTAGTAGCTCTTTTTTTTTTAAGAAAAAAAATTTTGGCCTGGTAGTCATGTAATGTAGCTATCTCCATTCAAGCCGCCTAGAATTTGGTACCAACTCTTTGTAGCTAACATTTGGCAGTACATTGAAAGGAACGGAATTCAGCTGGAAGGTATAAAACAATAAAAATTTTGACCCTGTTTTTTAAGTCCTCGAGCTAAGAGGTATATTCCATTTTTTCTGACAACAAGCTAACAGGTATATTCCACTAAGGCCTTTTTGGGAATGGAAATGGCTATCTAAACTTTAGTACTTTAATAGTTAATTATGGTATTTGAAATTATTAGTGTGTTAATTGATTTTAATTTATTAAGTTTTTTTTAATAAATTTAATTTAATTTTTTAATTTTTTAAATATAAATTTTAAATAAAAATTTAATGATGATAAAAAAATTTTCAATTATTATTTATATAATATGTTAAATTTTATCAAAAATTTATATTTAAAAAGTCAAAAAATCAGACTAAATTTACTAAAATAAATAAAAAAATTAATAAAAAACAATTATTTTGTTATTTATCAAGTAATAGAAAAATTCAAATAAAGATATGAAATTTATCATTTTTTGATTTAAGGACACGAAAATTTTGAATTTCTAAATTAAGATATAAACTTTTATTTTTTATTTAAAACTACAAATTTTGCTATTTTTTATTTAAGAATATAAACTTTGTTATATTTCGATTAAATAGAAACAGAATAAATTTTATAGCCTCATTTAGAAAAAAAAAAAAAAGAGAGTAAAGTTTTGCATGCTTATTTTTTCAGAGAAAAGCAAAAAGTTTACCATTTAATTTAAATTTTTAAAAAGTTTATATTTTTAAATAAAATAAATGACAAACTTTACATCTTTATATGTACATTTTCTCTAACTAACTACTTTTCTTATTAGTTGTTTTCAACTATCAAACTAAAAAGCATTTGTATCGTAAAAGACAAAATTTTAAAATTGGGTGGTTTGAACAATTTGCTGAACAGTGATAACCATTATTGACTTATTTGATTAGATTTTTTTTTTCTTTTGTACTAGGGGAACTGGGGAAAGGGGAGGGGAATGGGAACAAAGGGGTTTGAACCCTAATTGTGTAAATGGAACACTCATATAATGATCATATGAATCATGTATCAAGGTTTGATTAGATATTAATTATATTATATAGAAGTTAAAAAGTATTGTACAAAAATTAAAAAATTTTGTAATAAAATTTTATTCGACTATAAACTTTTCTATATTTTTTAAGAAATTAACATATAAAGAAAGTTACTAATAAATTTTTTATCAAAATGTGTCCCATGTAAAGAAATTTAGGAGAAACTTTTTACCTTGAAAAGTATGAAAAAAGATTTATAATTAGGATTTTTTTTTTGTTGTAGTATTAAAATATAAAAATACATAAATAACCCTATAAATAAGAAAATTTAAAAGAAAAAATTTCTTTATAACTAAACAGGTTTTTATAGTATTTCGAGTTCGAGAAAAAGGGTCCCAAGGGGTAAAGGGACTTTTCATTTTCCCTAAAAAAATATTTTTTAATAGGCAGGAGAGATAAGTTTTTTAATGATCGACGAAAAAACGTGTTCCTCCCCTCACATCCGTTCTGTTTCTCTTTCTTAAAGTTCGTTAATATCTGTCCATAGCATCTATAGTCGGAGTTGAAACAAAGAATTAGCATTTTCATCCTACCAGTCATTTTCATCCTTAAGGCTTCAATCATAAGATTATAAACTAAAAGGGTTGGGACGGCCACTCAAGTTTCCTCGTGGTTTCGTAATTTAATCTGTTTGAGAGAAACCAAAGTTGACATCCATGAAACATTATAATCCAAACAAGAGCAAAAACACAAAACCAGATCCAAACAGGAGCAAAAACACAAAACCAAATCCGAACTCAGAAAAGGAATAGAGTAAACAACAGTCCTTGAATGCGGACAAGCACCACATCCAAGAAGTACTTAGAATCAAACAAAACAGTCGGCTTAAGAAACTTTTTTTTTTATATAAAAAAACAAAAACAGAGCCATCTTAGCAGTTCGGAAATGTATAAAACAATAGCACGTCGTTTTCCACGATTACTTTCAACACTGAAATACACCGGAATATGTGAATTCAGACGCATTTGCTTGGTTGCTAAGGCAAAATGGAGAGATATGTATAAACAAGGTTGATTGTCGCTCTTCACCAACCAAAAAGGAAAGAATAAGCACTGCAAATTTCATCAGAGAAATCATACAAAATCTCGCAATATACCAGAGAGGAGGACTACCAAGAACCACATACCTCAAGCTGACACTCAACAAACTATTATGAGCACCATGTGCATCCACGTTTTGCTGATCACAATCAGCAAAATATATTCAAATCCCAAATGAAATCAAAGAACACTGCACAAAACACCCACTTATGCAGAAATAATGAATCCACAAGAGGATGCAAAATTACATGTGGTAGCTTCTCCATATCCCCATTCACTATTCACCATTCACAGTTACAATTGTATCCTTGAGAGACATTACGCCAATGACCTGTTGTCAAACTTGTGTGCTAGAAAGACATCTCCACTGCCTTATTCGAGGGCCCTTGTCTAGAAGCATTAGCAAGCCAACATTGTTGGGTGACATCCCATACAAGTACCTGCAGTTGGATCAGATTTACCGTCAGTTTTAACATATTATTAATACTTAAAAGAGTTTACTCATTACTGAATGCCTATGCAAGTATCACAAGGTAGAAAAATTCTGCTGGCTTCAGGGCAGACAGACCAACTATGCATGCATGTCTAGAAGTCGCAATTCTTTCTTTCAGCATTCCAAGCTAGATTTCTGGCATTATTTTCTAAGAAGCTGAAAGGATACACTTTACTTTAACTGTGTTTTCACTAATATTAACCATTCATAGATATCTACCATAAGAAACCATATCATGCAGAGTTTTAAAATTAAATTTAAAAAATAATTGGTGATGATCCACTTACTTCCTCCGGTGAGCTCTCTTTCTCCAGAAAACAAATGATGTCACCCACTGAACACAGAACATGAACGAATTAATAAATTTTGAGTGGTAAGAGAGCCAAAGAAATACAGCAAAGTTCTCAAATTCTGTAGCATATGAAAAGGTTAACTAATGCATGCAACATATCTAAGTCAAAAAGCTGTATTCAGTGATATAAAGGAAATATATAACTCTAAAAGAAAAGTAAATTCTGCAAGTAAAGAATACCTTGAAAACTGACATGAACTTAAAGACTCCAACAAGAGATGGCTTCCTCACAGGTGTCTGTCTTTCCGGAGACATTTCTTTGCAAAGCTGCTGAGCTATTTCTTTCAATAACACCAATTGAGCTTTGTCAGTCCCCATTGAAATTATTGTCTGTCTCATAGATTCCCTGTCAGCCTCGAGTGCCTGAAGCCTCATGTAGAGTTTCATGACGTCTGGATCACCAATTTCAGGCAGATTCAACGACTCCCTTGGAGTGGTCACAAAATCATCAGTAATCCCGACTCCAGCTTTAGTTTCTGTATTTCCATTATGTGGCACTCCATTATGCACAGAATCAATTGTATAAATCCTGTCACTCGCATCATCTCCATAATCTGACACAGGATCTATCTTTCTAGTGCAAGAGTTGACCTCTACTTCTGATGTCACGTTCTCCATCCTTTTGGAGGTAGTGTTCATCCTTGAAGAATCAAAATCTGAGACTGATTTAGGCGTCTCCATGAGTGAATTTAAATTATCAACTGAAAACGTCCTGAAATGTCTAGGCCACCTAGGCGAATGGCCAACTATCACCTTTTCCATGACATTCTTTGTTCCAGAGACATCCCCATCCAACTGATTAAGCTGACTGCTACTGGTATTCCTCTCCATTTGGTGGATCCTGTACTCCAAATTCCTCAATCGTTCACAGGCATGAGGGGTCTCATCAAATGCATATTTATCCACATTTTCTACTTCATCATCCACAGGGATCTCATTCGTATTGCACCTCAGAGGGGGATAATGAAATACAGGGAGATCGAATTGGGTATCAAAGTTTTCATCCATGCTCAGGTTATGCCCACCCTTCCCACCTTCAGCCTCTTCCTCTGTGAGCCCATAGCTCATCATTCTATGCTTATAAGCCTGTACTTCACACGTAAGTGACTGAATAGTCTGTTCTCTCTTGTACAACAAGTCCTCCAACGCCAAAATCTCCTGTTGGTCATGAGACATTTTCTCCTCTGCAAAACGCTTGAATTGTCGTGATTCCATTTGGATCTCAGCCTTCTCCCTCTGCAACCTCAGTATCATTGACATGGCCTCATTTGCTGCTGAAGATGACGCATTTCTCTCCTCCTCCAATTCTGATTGTAGATCCTGTATTGCTTCTTGTTGACGACTGACCATCTCCCGCAGAGCAATACACTCATTCTCAATTTGCACTCTGGCATTGAAATAAAGATCAACTCCAGGCACATAGAACCGGTTTCCACTCTCAAACTCATTATATTTCCGTTTAACCGAGCGAAGCCAGGTATCAGAGGAACTGCTGTTCAAAGAACAACTACATCCACAGTCGCAACATTTCACGAAATCTATAGGAGTTGAAAACACCTCCGACTCCATAAACCAAGGTTCATCCAATTCAACCAATCCACAGATCAATCAATACTATTTACCATACCAACCAAAATCCTAAAATAAAATGAAAACGAAAATAAAAGCAGTTCCTCCAATGAAAGTTCCCTCCTTCCTTCTCTTTCAAACTACCAGCCGATGACCAGAATATTCCTAAAAACCACAGAAAAGAACAGAATCATTAACGATCCATACAATTCACATCCTCCTCCGGAATATTCCTTACAATCTTCGCCGTAAAACATAAATTTCACACATTTAAACAAATATTCCTCTTACTACTTCTCTCAACATAAACATCCAGCCTTCAAATCTTCAAATACAGAAAATTTGCCGGGAAAATCAAACAAACAAACAAACAAGCTGAGATACAGAAACATAGACTAACCGCGGTCCGTGTAATCAAACAGGGCGAGGCAACCGCCGAACAGAGTTGAATTCTTCCCGGGAAAAATCAAGTTATATAAAGGAAAGGAAAGACAAAACGTGTTTCACAGATCACCACCACCTCGGAAATGGAGCAGCAAAAGGTGAAATCCGGCCCCGGAATGGCATTTGGAGGGAAACAAACAAGAAAAGGAAGGAGGGAGAGGGGATTAAGAAACCCTAGATTGGGATTTCTTTTGTTGTTGTCAGGCTGGATATTGTTTTCTTCTGCGTAATTTTCTCATTGTTTCAGCGATTTTCTCGAATTTGGTGCTGGGCATATTTTGGAGAAGATGAGTGTATTGAAGGTGGTGATGGACCGCCGTGATTTGTCGGAGGGGGTTAGTTGGAAAAGGTGCGAGGGAACCTGAATCGAGCCAATCATATGTTAGGAACAACTAAGGGTAGTGTGGAGCTGGGTGTACAATATCTAATTTTGGAATGTGCGAAACATGAGGTGGGCCGTGGCCCGTGGGGGGAGGTGAAACGACCCAACGCAATTAACCTTTTCCGATCCATTTTTGGATTATTATTATATTATTATTATACTTTGATGGATAAAAATAGTTACTTAATGGCAAAATTTAATAACTGGTTTATTAATTAGGTATCCTATGTTAATTTGGTATATAAACTATTAATTTTGTTTGATTTGACCAACATCTGTTATTTAAACTAACGAAATTCGTTTTGGTTGCTAACATGGCACCACTTATTATGCCATTTACATGCCATGTAGTCCAAAAAAATTGTTTAACATATATAAATTTGAAAAATGATGAAA